CCTGCTGAAAACCTTTCAACCTCTCCCATGGCTCTTAGTACCCTTGGGATAAAGTCCAAACTACTTAGCATGGCACCCAGGGCCCTTCATGATTTGGCTCCTGCCAAATCGTCAGCCTCATTTTTGGCAGTGCTCCCATTTCACACGTAGTCACAATGAACTACTTTGCAGGTTTCTGAGCATGCCATTCTTGGCTTTGCTCCTGGGACTTTACACATGACATTCCCTCTGCCTGGGACATCCTTCACACACCACCTTCTCTCCCATCTGTCTAACCAATTCTTACTCATTCCTCAAGACTTCGACTAAACTCCCGCAGCCCAAGACATGTATTTCACTCATGTCTATATCTCTGATGCCTAGTACAGTGTCTGGAACATAACACGTCCTCAGTAGATGTTTGCTAAATAAATGAATGAATGAATGCCCCCAACTCAGTTGGCTATGTGCAAAATCATCTCTGAGCGACGCTGGCAGAGTTGATCAGTCCCTCTCTCTATAGAGGGAGACCTCTCCTCCCTTGCATATCATCCTTACTATACTGGGTTACAATTCCTTCTCTAAAATATCTGCCTCCCTAATTCAACTGTGAGCATCTGAAGGGCAGCGCCATGTCTGATCCACCTCAGGCTCCTACCTAGTCCCCAGCATAGTGCTTGGAATATAATGAATAAGCCTCCCAAATGCCTGACAGTTTTGTCCCTTGTTTCAAATCCCTCTACTCTTCCCCACAAATTCTCACCACCAATACAGCCAAACTGTCACACTCGTGACTTTGCAACCATACAAAGCTCCTCCTCATCCCTGAAACTTTTCACCTGCATTCCTATTACCTGAAATGCCCTTCCCACCCACCCACCCACTCAAATTCTGCTACTTCTTTAGGAACCAGCTCAAATTCTCCTTCTTCCAGAGAGCTTTCATGCATCCACCCCAGCCCACCTCTAAGTAATGCTAACAATGCCCACCCATCTCATACAGCCCTGGGCATCCCCTCGTGTTACTCAGGGGAAAACCAAGACTCAGAGAGAGAAAGGACTCTCTCAAGGGCACAAAGGATGTGCAGTGGTAGAACTATTACCTGAACCCAAGTCTCCAGTCCACGAGTTCTCCCAGTAGCCAACATATGTGCCTCATCTGTATATTCCTCAGGAAGACTACAATTTCCTAGAAGGCAGGACTATCTTCCACCCATTCATCTTCCCAGGGCTTGACTGGAGTGTGGAAAGCTCTAGAGACAGACTGCCTGCATTTCTCTTTTGGCCTCACTGGTTACTAGCTGTGTGACTTTAGGCAACCTAACCACCCTAAACCTCAGCTTCCTCATATGTAAATGAAGATAACAGCAGTGTCTAAGTAATTAGACTGTTGTGAAGATTAAATGAAATAATGAATGTAAAGTGCCTAGAGCAGTATCTAGCACCTAGTAAATGCTCAACAAAGGCTACTTTATTGTTGGTATTCTTAATATTAACAAAAATTAGAGGTGGGAGTTACTGGGGTGGGAGGGAATGAGAAAAGGAAACAAGAGATCGGATCAGTCTGAGATTTGGTGGAATCCAAACAAGGTTAGTGGTGCAGCAGGACGTTTGTACGTCTGAGTTCCTAGTGCCATGTGACTCTGTGAGGGCCCCAAGCACATGGTTCCATCCTGGCGGCGGAGCTTCCCTAACTCTCGCTCAGCTATTCTCAGCAGCCTGTAGGGGGAGCCAGGAAGCTAGGACGGGGGAGAGGCTGCTGGAAATCTTACTAAGGGCAGAAACGACACCCCATCGCTACTACCCATCTTAGCCCACTGTCTTGCCCCCTCCAGGACTCTCTCTAAGCTCTGTCCTCTGCAGCAGCTAAGCCGGGACCTGTCCTTCAGCACCAGGGGCCGCCTTGGCCTGGGGCAGGACAGTGAGGGCGACAGCGGAGTTAGGGACACGGGACTGGTCCGATCCGCAGCCGGCTCCAGCGTCGCCTAGTCACGGGGATGGGGGCGGCGACCCAGGGTGGCAGCGAGACGCTATGGAGGTGCCTCCTTCTGCCTCTAACAATCACCCTCAGAAGTCCCCTAGCCCTCAGGGGGAGCGACCGGCCGCTTCGGGGAGGGAGGCGGGCTCCCGGGTCAGCGGGGGAGGGGGAGCGCCGGGCCTGGGACTCAGCGTGCGGCGAGTGCACGCGGGGAGCGGGCGGATGAACGGAGGCGCTGAAGTGAATGGAGTTGGGGGTGGACTGGAAACATCCCCAAACAGCACAGGCTGCGGCCGGCTGGGGTGGGGTGGGGGGGGGAGTCCTGAGGCGCAGGCGCAGTCGGGGCCCCAGTCCCGCTCCCTCCTCCTCTTCGTGGCTCTTTCTCCGCCCCCACTCTCCCCCAAACACACTCGCACACGGACTCTCAAGGTGTTCTCTGCACAGCGGAAGATGGCGACAGACTGAGGGGGCATGGCCAGCGGGAGCCAAGGGGCCGTGCCGCTCGGCGGCCGCCACAGCGGTGCGAACGCGAGGCGGAAGCGAGAGGCGCACTAAGTAAAGCCCCGCGTCGGCGTCCGGCGCCTGTGGCGCCGCCAGGAGCCAGGTGGCCCGCCCGAGCCGGAACTCCGGGAGCGGCGGGCGCGGAGCCGGAGCGGAGCTGGCCCGGGACCGGCCCCGGCCAACGGCCAGAGCGCGAGCGAAGCCCGAAGTAGGAGGGCGCGAGCGAGGCTGGGAGCGGCGCAGAGCGGGCGGCCGGCGGGCGGGCGGGCGGACGGGCGGGCGGGAGCTGAGCAGCGCGGCGCGGGGCGAGCGAGCGGAGCGGAGCGCGGCGGCCGGGCCCGCACGGCGGCGCTGAGGGGCGCAGAGCTGCGCCGAGCCGAGACGGGTGAAGTGGCGCTGAGCCCGGGGCAGCTGAGCGGCCCGACACTATGAGGAGTGCGGCGCCGCCGCCGCCGCAGCCGCCACCGCCCCAGTGCCCCGCACTGCCCCCCGCCGGGACGCCGGGCAGCGCCTAGCGGGCCGGGCGGCCGCGCCCGGGCGGCGAGCGAGGGAGCGCGGGAGGGGCGCGGGGACGGCGCGAGAGCGCCCCGCCACTCCGGCCTGAGCGGGGCCCCGGGCCGGCCGGCCTGCCTCGCCATGCAGCCCCCGAGGTAGAGCCTGGACGGCGCCGAGGAGCGCGGAGCGGCGCGCAGCCGGCTTGCCCGCCCGCCAGCCCGAGACGGCCGTCCGGCCTCGCGCCCGCCTTTTCCCTCCAGCCCGGAGCCCCCTGAAATATGTTCAGGGGCGCTTGGATGTGGCCCGGGAAAGACGCCGCCGCGCTGACTATCTGCTGCTGCTGCTGCTGGGCTCCCAGGCCAAGCGACAAACCTTGCGCCGACTCCGAGCGGGCGCAGCGATGGCGACTGTCCCTGGCGTCCCTGCTCTTCTTCACCGTGCTGCTCGCTGACCATCTGTGGCTGTGCGCGGGGGCCCGGCCCCGGGCCAGGGAGCTGAGCAGCGCCATGCGGCCGCCCTGGGGGGCCGGCCGGGAGCTGCAGCCGGTGCCTCCTCGCGCGGTGCTGCCGCCGCCGCCGCAGCCGCCCGACCAGCCCAGTGCGCCCCCAGGCACCTGCGGCCCGCGACACAGCAACCTGACCAAAGCCGCCCCCGCCGCCGGTCCCGGGCCGGACTGCGGCGGCGTCCCAGAACCTACGGGGCTGGACGCAGCTTGCACCAAATTGCAATCTTTGCAGAGACTTTTCGAACCGACCACCCCAGCGCCCCCTCTACGGCCCCCCGACTACCCTTCCCGTGCCCCGGCCGAGTTCCCCACCGCCAAAAAAAACTTGCTCAAAGGCCACTTTCGGAACTTCCCTCTTTCCTTTTGCGACACCTACACGGTCTGGGATTTGCTGCTGGGCATGGACAGCCCCGACAGCCTGGACTGCAGCCTGGACACCCTGCTGGGGGACCTGCTGGCCCTGGTGGCTAGCCCGGGCTCCGGGGCCTGGGAGGTGTGTAGCAACTGTATCGAGGCGTACCAGCGGCTCGACCGACATGCTCAGGAAAAATATGACGAGTTCGACCTCGTGCTGCATAAATACTTACAGGCAGAAGAGTATTCAATCCGGTCCTGCACGAAAGGCTGTAAGGTAGGGACTGGCGTCCGCGGCCGCAACGGCTGCCGCTTCAGCGGCGGGAGCCGTGGCGGTGGGACCGGGAGAAAAAAGGTTTCCCCCTCTACCTACCTCACCTCCCCCCAACACCCCTACCGTTCTCATGGGGCACGGGTAGTGCTACCTTGGGACCCTCCCGGGAAGCAGGGCCTCAGGGACTCAAGTCAGGTAACCACCTGGCCAACTTCTATTGATTCTGGCTTTGGGCACCATCTGACTGGGGCTTTCTCGCGCCCCGCCCCCCCGCATGAGGAGGGAGGGATCCGGGGGCCCCCCGGTTGGCAAAGGGATGGAAAGAGGGCTCTGGCTCCCCCAGCCCCCGTCCTCACCTAGCGGTGCCCCTTTCCTTTCCTTGGCTGGAATGGAAAGTCCTGGGACTGGCTGGTGCAGGGGGAAGGCCAAAGGTGGGGGAAGAATATTTGGCAACTTAACCCTGACCCTTTGGCCCCTGCCAGTGGGTGAGAGGAGGGGCACCTGGTTGTGGGGCACAGCACACTGTTGACCTTATATGACCTGAGGTGGCTGGTCAGAGTCTAAGCAGGTGGAGCCCCAGGGTGCCTGTTTTCTCCCAAGGAGGGTACCTGCCAACTCCTCTCCCCTGACAAGAGAAGGAGCTGGGAGCAGGGCACAGCAGCTTGTGGGAGGACCACTGGAGGCTGGTGCACTACAGAAGTTCCAGTGCTTTCCCAGTGCCCTGGGGTGGCAGTGGAGGGAAAGCTGGCTTACTGGTCGTTGGGGACGGGCATCCAGAGGAGAGGCGGGGCCCCTGCAGAATGGGCCTGCCTAGGGCAGAGCTGAGTGTTGAGAAACTTCTTGACCCTGAGCAGGGTCGTTCTGGACAGTGGGTGTATGGGGGCTGTAAACATTTGGGACATGGTGCTACTGCTCTGTTTGTGTGGCCTGCAGGTAGCCTGCCTCTGAGAGGAAAGAGAACAGCAAGGTCAAAGGGTCAAGTGAAGAGGAGACCAGGTGGGGTGCTGGTCTCACCCATCCTCAAGCTGGGGGCTGAGAGCTGGAGAGGGAGACAGTTGCCTCATAGCCTAGCTTGTCTCCCTCCGAGGCTTTGGGGAGGGACAGAAAGTGCCCCTTTCCATCTGACGTGACCCCTGCAGACTTCTGCCCGGTTCCACGCTCTTGGTGGGCTCCTTAGGGATTTGGGCAGGGGGTTGGGGAGGAAAGGGGTACCTCCTTGCTCCTGACTTCACTTTCTCATTCTCCTTTTTCCTGTTCTCGTAACCTAGCAGTCTCCCTCCCGCCTCCCTCAGCCTCAGCTGACTCACTGCCTCACTCACACTACCAAATGAGATATTCCACCTCTTAAAGGTGTACAGACAGATAGACACACACACACTGCCAAACAGCACCACCACCACCCCGGGCAAAGTCACACAGAGGTAGAGAGAGGTCGTCAACACCCACAAACGGTGCCACAGAAGCAGACAAGGTGTCATACATATGCACATCTCCCCAGGATGTCAGAGACACACAGGCAGAAGTACTGTCACATAAAACAGGACACATTTTGTCATATAGAGATAGAGACACACACCCTTGATGTCAGTGCGAGCAGAGGGACACGGGCCACTAGCAGACGGAATAAAGGATGTCTGTCTTTTGTGGCCTTCCCTCCAACCCCGTGGCCCCGACTTTTTCTTTCCCACAATCTCCAGGATGAAAAAGAGACCATGCTACAACTTTCCCGTGGGGTTTTCTCCGGGTCATAGTTGGCTTCAGGCTCTGTCTGATCCGGCACTAAATAATAATCCCTCATGTTGATTATTTTTACCAAGCAGTTTGTTGGAGGAGAAAGACAACTGATATCTTGGCTTCAGGAGGCCTGATCATCTCTACCACTTGTTCGTAGTGTGACCTTGGGCACGTCAGTTCACTTCTCTAAGCTTTTGTTTCCTCATTCGTAAAACAAGGATAATAATCCTGGCTCTGCCCACATCCTGAGTCTTTTGTGAGATTGAAGTGGAAAAAGGTAGCTGATAGTATTTTGTAAGAATAATAGAACACCTGGCAGTGATGTCCTGCTTAGGGTTTGTAGCCTCTTTCATGTGTATTATGAGATCACAACTGCCTGGGGAGGCTGGTAATACCAGCATCAGGAGCCCCATTTTACAGATGGGGAAACTGAGGTGCAGCGGGCTCAAGCAGTTTGCCCGAAGGCCAGTCAGCTAAGGAGCAGGAGTGCCAGGACTCCAACCCACATGGCGTCAATGCTAAGCTCACGCTTTGGCCATGGCCTCTCATCAGGTTTGCAATGGCCAGGGCCCTCCCTGCTCTCCTTTGTCTCCTTGCCGCTTTCACACTCTCACTCTCTCTCTCCCTCTCAAGTGAACTCCGCCTGCTCTCTTGCTGCCTGCTGTGCTGGGAGAAGGGCAGTGTCAGCTCCACAGCTTTCTTCCTGTCTTTCCCACCCTCTCCAACATGCTCTCCCTTCACTGAGGCCTACACCCACAGGCCTCTAGATTCCAGCTGTATTACAGGCCCTACAGGAAAAGACAGCCCTGCTCTCCTCCTTCCTGCAGCCCCTCTGTCTTCACCCCAGTGCCCCACCTCTATCCCAGGCCTTTTTTGCAGATCCCCAAGCCTGCCCCCCAGTTTCAAGCCCTGCTGTCCAGCCCCTCCCCCAAATGGGATCCCTTGGAGATAATGCCACATCCTCCAAGCTTCTCCAGGGTGGAGAGCACACCGCCCCAGGCTAGGGTGAGGTGGCTTCCTCTGCTGCTGGAAACCAAACCTGGAGCCTTTGCTCCAAGGCCAGGTGACCCCCATCCCCGGGGGGCCTGTCTGCAATATTTCAGTTAGATCTTTCCCGGGCAGCCCCAGAAACCCTGTTCTCTCCCTTTGCAATATCTGCCCCTGTTTCGGGCCACACAGGGCCCCACACATCATACCTGTCCTCACTGCTGCCTGTGACACCTCCCAATTTAGTACCAGCTGTGACATTTCCTTAATGTGTAACTGACTTCCTCTCACACAGCAGGGCGATGATAACTTAGGGAGGTCAATGCCCGTTCCCACGCTGGCCTCTCCCAACCCCTGGGGCCCCGCTCCACCCCTCCCTTACCTCCCTGTGCACGCATCCCCTCAGCCCTTGCCTCCTGCTCTGCTTAGCCCTTCTGGCCGTGCCTGTGGTTACTGGACCACCCCCTCACTCCCCCAGCCCTCTCCATCTCCCAGCCCTGCCAGACCCCGCCTGGTTCTGATTGCCTCTTCCTCCACCTCTGCCCCTTCCCTACTCTAAATTGAGGATAGTCTGATGGGGGGTGGGGGGGGCAGTGGTGGAGATGGGAACAAAACCCTGGCCTCTTCTCTCATAGCTCTGATCCAAGAAGGGATAGAAGGCCAGTTCTCAGTTCTCTCTAGCCATAGGGCCACAACCATAAAGGTTAGTGCCAAGGAAGGATGCGATAGTTCTGTTATCTTCGGGACTGGCCCACACCCATCTGGCACATCGTGTGTTTGGTTCTGGGTCTCACACTGAGCAGTTTAAGAGGAGGCTAAAACTCGAGTTCTCCTGGACAGAGTTGAAGGAGCTGTTTCAGCTGAAGAAGAGGAGACTCAGGAAGGTGTGGTCTCCAACTTCAGACCTCAGAAGAGTTGTCAGCTGCAAAAGAAGAGGCATTTCCTGCTTAACCCCAGAGGGACTTCATGGTTAGAAAGTCCTGGGTTCAAGCCTAGCTTTTTTATGTATTACCTGTGTGACCTTGAGCTAGGGACTTCAGCTCTCTCAGCCTCACTTTTCTCATCTGTAAAATGGAGGTAATTCATCAGAACAGCCCTGTGAGCTCATTATTAATGAGAAGTCTGCACAGTACCTAGGCCTGGCATATCAGAGTTGTTCAGTTAACAGTTTTTTCCTTCCAAAGAGGGAACAGAGTGCCTTGAGGGGAGGTGAGTTCCTGCTCCCAGGGGAAAGGTCTAGCCTGATTCAGACAGAGCCCTGAGGGAAATGCTGTGGAGATGACTCTGACTCCGGAGTCTAGGGCAGGTTGGACCAGCTGACCTCTGAGGCCTGTGTCAGCTCAGAGTTCAGGCCAGTGAGCAGAGCCTGCTCCCTCAACAGCAGCATTGGATGGGCAAGGCCAGGGAAGGAGGCCTAACACCCACACCCAGGGGAGGGGGCTGCCAGAGCCAGCACCTCGCCTTCTGCCCTTACCCGTTGGGGACCTCTTCCTCCACTCCGGCTGGCAGCTGTTTCTGCCTCGCTGCCTTCCTCTCTCCTCCCACCTGCCACAGTTTTCCTGCCAAGCAGGATTCCCAGGCTAACGCTGGTGCCGAGAGCAGGAAGCTCAGGGCACTGGGCAAAGGGCAGGAGCCCCAAGTTGGCAAGTGGTCCCTCCAAGCTTTCAGGCATGGAGCAGTGCCCCACTGTCAGCCTCCCTGACCCAGGGTTCGTGAGGGCAGAGAGAGTACCCTTGTCCACATTTGGGGGTGGAGGAAGGGGGAGGCAGTCAAGAAGCAGCCTCCCAGGACCATGGCAAAGGCTCCCCTGAGGAGGGGCGTCCAGATCCACCGAAGCTCACTGGCCATGAATGTGAGCACCGGGCTTCCGGGAAGGACCGGGGACGGAAAAGGCAATGTTTGTAGCTCAGACAGGGTATAGGGGCTTAAACGTGAGAGTGGGAAACTGGCCCTATGCTGCCCACACCTCTCCGGATCCCCTCACCCCTACCCTGACCCACCCCACTACCAATCCCCATAGTCCTCCCAATTTTGGCCCACAGCCAACACCCCCACATACCAATGACCCCACAACCTTCCCAACTTTCTGCTAGACCCTTCCCAAACCGCACCCACACCTCACTCCTCCAACACCCACTTCTCCCCACAGTTACCCCACCTGCTCCCACCCCTCCCCTTCCCCCCACGCCCCTCCCTGCTCCCTTCTAACGGCCAGCCCTCTCCCATCTCCCATCCAGCTCCACTCCCCTCATCTCTCACCTCTACCTCACACTCCACCAACC